CCGCTTGGTGGCCTTTAGTGCGGCACGCTGACCAGGCTAACTACACTAATTACAGTGTAACTGCTCCTACGGAACGGGACCACAGCTCAGGTCCAGGTCCACGTGTTGGAGACTCGGAGAATGTAGAACGTAGACGAAGGTTTCTTCAGGATGAACAACAACGCCGGTCCCTCTGGGGGGACCCGGCTTATATCCTCTGCGGCTTGGCTGGCTCCGCCCTTGGCCACGCCCACCTTCTAGAATCCTCGAGCAGGATCTGGACCCCGACCACGTGACCACCCCTAGCCCCCACTTGGGGCCCCTTTGTAGACTTAACCGGTCACGTGTCCTCTCGGGTCAACCAGAGTGCCACGGCCTTTAGTAACCTCATTCCTACGGCCGGCACTCACACACCCTGTCCTGTAGGGGCTGGCACTGCACGCCAATCGTGGTGCCATCCAGCGCTATCAGTCAGCGCTGACCAAGCCCCTCTAGGGCCGGCACTACACATTGACATCCCGCGATGTCACTACACTTATAAGCGGTGATAGATTATTATTACTTCACGTCAATGAATTAAACGTGTGTGTGTGCGGTGGTGGTTGTGTGGGGAGCGGTGGTGCAGCGGTTAGCGCGCCGCGCTACGAACCCGGCGGACCAGAGCTCACGGCCGACATCAGTGGCTTTTATCTGAGCCGATCCTGGACCTCCACTAGGTCGACTCAGCCTCAAATGAGTACCTAGTGCGGTTTGTGGTAAACATCGCAACTTCGGAGACAAAGGCGGCCGCGCGTGGTGTTGGCCACCTACCCCCTCCTGTACCGTGCCGGCCTTTATAGGTGCTCGCTAACAGCACTTGGCCCCAAGTGTTAATAGGCTATACGGGGGATCTTTAATGTTGTGTATCCCCCCCCCCCCCGCATTCAGTGCATTGTACAATACAGATAGTCCCCGACTTACGATGGTCCGACTTACGACGGTCCGACTTACGATATTTCGATCCAACGATGGCGATAGCGACACGACGAAATTGTTAAATATTACAAATTTCACGCGGCAGGAAAACGCAGCAGCGTACGAGGTACGGTACTGTACGTTGTTTGTTTGATTATAGCAGATATGATTGTTTCCTGAAAAAAAACCTTTCTATTAAATGTAAGTTCATATAGGTAGGCTAAGAATTTTCCTTGTTTTTGTACATTACATTTTACTGTGCAATACAGTATTGTAATTAATATACATATATATATTTTTTAAATACGACGAATAAGGCGTCCTGGTATCTTATTTGGTTCTTTCGGTAAAGTCACGTAGAATGAGAATAAAATAATAAAATAAAATAAGACAATAAAATTCTCACGACGTTTCGGCCACAACACAAGTAGCCTTCATCAGGTGAAAGAACAGAACTGTCGGGACGACAGTGTTCTGGAGCACCTGATGAAGGCTACTTGTGTTGTGGCCGAAACGTCGTGAGAATTTTATTGTCTTATTTTATTCTCATTCTACGTGGTGACTTTACCGAAAGAACCAAAGAAGATGAATCCTTGCAGTCACGAAAGCTTTAAATCTAAATTCGTCCTGGTATCGTCTGTAATTGCTTTTATTCTTCCATCAATTCCAATTCTTGCTGTCGGCGTCACGAAGGCAAGTTTCCCGCGGAACTTCGGCGGTGAAAGTGACGGCGACTACATTCGTTCATTTGTATCATCACTCCCTCACCAGCGCCTCACCAATGTCGCGTGACGTCATAACCCGGCCCCCTCTCCTCACCACTCACGCGTCTCTTTGACGTCATCGCCGCCTGTCTTCCACCTTAACCGTGCCGCGTGATGTCACCACTCTCTCACCAAGCTCACAAACTATGGTTTGACGTCACCTCCCCCGTGCTGCAACTCATCAATGTCTCGTGACGTCATAACCCGGCCCCCTCTCCTCACCACTCACGCGTCTCTTTGACGTCATCGCCGCCTGTCTTCCACCTAACCCGTATCGCGTGACGTCACCCAACCCCTCCCCCCGCCGCGTCTGGTGACGTCACCCATCTCTCACCAACCACATCAAGCTATAGCTTGACGTCATCACCCCCCCCCCCCTGCTCCAACTCACAAATGTATCGTAACGTCAAAACCCCGCCTCCTCACCACTCCGGCGTCTCTTGACGTCATCGCCGCCTGTCTTCCACCGAACCAGTGTTGCGGGACGTCACCAACTCCTCACCCCCCCGCTGCGTTTGGTGACGTATCTCCCTCTCACCAACGCACCGCAATCTATAGCTTGACGTCATCGCCCCTCTGCTCCGACTCACCAATGTCGCGTGATGTCAAACCACTCTCATCTCCACCTACGTCCAGTGACATCACCCCCTCCCCTCATCCCAATCGTGCGTGACGTAATGTCCCCTCACCCCACGACCTTCTACGTCTCGTGACGTCATCCTGCCCCTTTTCATAATAATAAAGCCGACGTGTTAACTTGATCCTGCCCCTCCTGACATTACCCCAAATCTTCGGTGACGTCGCAACTCCTCTCCCCAACAGTCCCGTGTCTATGAGGTCATCGGCCCCGCCCGTCCACATCCGATTAACACGGTTGGCTACGTACGGTGCGAAAGAAGTTCAACGTACATACACATTACACTTATGCTACTGTGACTAAGAACTACACCACCACTTTTAATAGCATGGAACAACAACAACAACCCGGCACAATCAACTCCCACGTCATCGGCGTGGCTTAAACAACCACCCCCCGCCCCATGCTCCCCCAACCGGCCAAACTAGTTTTTGTTGTTGTCGTGTTACACAAACGCGTAATCAGAGAAGACAAAAAGCGCGAAAGTGGATCTATCACAGAGCAGCGAGATGTGGTGCAACACACACACAGGAGGGAGAGGGGCAGCACTTGGTCGCTTTTGCCCTGCGGAACGTTCGCCGCACGAGTTCAACCCGAAATGTTCGTTCTCAGAGCTGGATTGTGGCCACATGCAGTGTGTGGAACCAAAACTTAATGTGGTTTACACCATTGGAAACCTCATTTGCCAGTAACAAAATATGATAATTGGATTTTTACCCTTTTATCTGGCAACAAAACTGACACCTTTTTTTTACAAGGAGTCATGTTTACATTGACCACAATACCTGCGGTCGGAACGCAAACAAAAAATAATAATAACTCTGATAATGTATGTGACACTGTCCTTGAAATTGATTGGTCCACACCCGAGACAGCTTTCTTTAAGAGCCTCGTCTCACATGGTGTTGGACCAGATGACGCCAAAAGGCGCACAACTCAAAGACAATGCACCATCAGAGTATGAGATATTGTTACTGGCAAATGAGGTTTCCAATGTTGTAAATGCTTACCCCGAGCTCTCATACTCTGATGGTGCATTGTCTTTGAGTTGTGTGACGCCTTTTGGCGTCTTCTGGTCCAACACCATGTGAGACGAGGCTCTAAAGAAAGCTGTCTCGGGTGTGGACCAATCAATTTCAAGGACAGTGCCATGTACATTATCAGAGTTATTATTTTTTGTTTGCGTTCCAACCGCAGGTATTGTGGTCAATGTAAACATGACTCCTTGTAAAAAAGGTGTCAGTTTTGTTGCCAGATAAAAGGGTAAAAATCCAATTATCTTAACGTGGTTTGTTCGACAATTATTTGGTGGCCGGGCTAAGGATCCGGTCTTAGCAAGTTGTGGTAACTGAGCGGTGAAAATTCGTAGTCGCCAGCAGAGGGCAGTGCCGATATATATTCACCGGCTTGGTTGTTACCGTTACAAATATAACGCTTACTACTACGTCTAAATCTCCCGCAACGTCACAATCCCACATACCGACCACCATCGTTGTGAAGTTATGGTAAAGTTGATTAACTTGTGAATGCACAGGGAAGGTCAGTGCCATGTTGTGGCGCCAAAACAAACACACCCGAGTCAAGGGCCACATGGCTCACAGGGTAGTCCCCGACTTACGACGGAGATGCGTTAAGACGACCCCCATCGTAAGTCGAAAATAGCGTAAGTCGAAGATGGCCTAGCCTACCCAGGAGTCTTAAAGAATGGTGATAATTTAGCAAAACAGAGCAATTTACAGTAACGTACTATATTAACTATATACTGTATGTATTAATTACAATACTGTATTGCACAGTAAAATGTCAAGTAAAAAAAGGTAAATTCTTAGCCTACCTATATGAACTGCAATTTAATAGAAAGTTTTTTTCAGGAAACAATCCTACATGCTATACTTTTAACATGCGTACATCCCGGCAGCGTCACAACGTAAAATATCGTACCTTGTACGCTGCTGTGTTTGCCTGCCGCGCGAAATTTAAAATATTTTACAATTTTGTCGTATCGCTATCGCCATCGTAAGTCGGACCGTCGTAACTCGGGGACTAAGGGAAATTTGTGAATGTCTGTTCAAAATGTTTAGCATACTTCCCGACATGCAACAAACTTGAAATTTGCCATGTGGGTACTTTCCAGACTGTACACCATGCAAAAATTATAAAAATACACTTTTGTATATATTTTTTTGGGGGGGGGGGTAAAGGGGGCGCAATAATGCAAGTGAGCTGTGACGTCACATGTCCGCGCATGCGGAAGCGTCACGCAGTGTGCCTGCTGACGTCACGCATTCCTCCCCCCCTCCCCAACCCTCCGCGAGTAAAGTGCCATACAAATGTGTTGCAGGTCTAAGGCGTTCTTCGCGCAGCATTGGTTTGTGCTCCTGAGCCTCCCCTAGGTCGACTCAGCCTCACACGAGTAATTGGCGTGGCGTGTGAACATCGCCACTGGGAAGACAAAGGCGTCTGGGCGTGGTGAATCCAAGTCCCGGGCGAAGCCGGGTAGTAAAGCTCGTACCTAATAAATTCAACTGAAAACATTGACGCCCCAAGTGAGATGTGATACGGGGGCCAGTGGTTGTGAATGGTTGTGTGGATGAGGACGTCAATACCAACGCGGTTGAGAACCACTTGTCAAATAGCCATTCAAGTTAAATGCATGAAAAAATATCTCGCGGTCGGATTTTTTTTTTTTATTTCCAGACAGGTCACGTTCAAGTGTTCAGTTATGCGCACTTCACAGGTTTTGTTTGTAAAGGCCAACAATACTGCAGACGACAGCACGCAACTTGCATCCATTATGTTAAATAACGCTGAACGGGCTTCAAAACAAGCATCGCAAGTACGATACAGAAATTCGTGTCCGTCTGCTGTTCGCTGTCCACTCAATTGCACCATTTTGCCACCTTTCCCCCCTCCCACTCCCTTTGCTCACTCTGTACACAGCGACAGCACCGTTACAACACATCCCACGTTTCACACTTGACACCTTACAGCGACTCTTCCATTTCAAGTGTTTATCTACAATTACGAGGATTGAGCCAGTGTTTGTTTTTACACGGTCCCAGTTTCATAGTTTAATAATTGCGGTATTTTTTTTTTGGACTTCAGATTTGAGATGTTGCGTTTCACAAGAGCGTGCCGCACATTCACCCCCGGCCGCTTGATATCCGATTCCAAGGCGTCTTGTGGCTTCTCGGCCAAGTTCGCAAGAAACACCCCCCCACCCAAGTAAAGTGCGGCCGTCACCTCGCGTGAACCCAGCGCAAGCACGAGTCTACTTTAAACCACATACATCTCATTCCCATCTTCAAAAGCCACGTGACAAGAGTCTCGAAAGAAGGCATTGATTTTTTCATGGGATAATTTGCGGGGGATGTTCTGTACCTTGCATAGCAAAGCATTTTAAAGTACAGTATTGCCACGTCTATTTCACATATCGTCTCAAACAGAAAAAAATAACAATTGTTACAAAAATTGTGAATAAAACTAGCGAACAACCTAAGGCTTGTCATGATTACAGCAGGTTTTATTTTAATGTTTGCCAATTGTCTAGTGTCATTGGAATGTTTGTAAGGAAACAAAACACCGTTACCGATTAATCCGTTTTAAAATAACACAAAACAAGAAAAAACCGTTAAGGCCTGCTTAAGAAGGCGGTTTGCGAATTTCACTTTCCCATAATGCCTCGTGCATCTCCTGGAATGGTATTGTGGTCACGTTGCAAGAAATTGTCTAAAGTTCACCACCTCCTCGGCCTTACCCTCCCCAACCCAGTCGTTCGAAATAGCTTATGTGAAAATGTGTCATCGCAACACCGTTCCCACTTGATATTTGCATTACGTGATCAGATTGTTTGTTGTGAACTTTTTCGCAATGAGGATTAAAAAGAAAAACGTAAAAAAATTAGAAGTAATTTCGTACGAGCAGCTGATCATAACACGGACATTTTCTCTGAGCAGCTGTTTGGCAACATGAACAGGCGGCGCGTGGGATCAGGGCATTTTCAACAACAACAATGCGGGGGGGGACACCGCTTCACAGCAAAAAATTGGTTGTACAGATAAAACTGCATGTGCGTACGCTTCATCAGCAGCGAATAGTTTAATCGGAGAGGGCGCGGCGATGATCTCCAGCACTCGTGCGGATCCTTCACGTTGGCTGTTGATGGCATCGGCCGCGGTTAAAACTACCCTCTCGGTGCCACTATGGCACCAGGTCAAACAGGTCGCGCATCGCGGAGCGGAGGCTATTTTGCACAGGACGTCGCAATTTGATGCGCACGCTTTGTCCTTGCAGTGACGTTTTGATTTATGCAAGAACGCCGCACACACTGGTGTAAGTGTTCGGAACTCCCAGTGCCCCTAACGGCAATTTCCCAAAGCGATTAACATAATTTAGCAAATACTTTAAGCCACTGTTAGACGGACACCGATGTTGGTTCAAGCCTCCGGAGCGTGCATTTTAGTCGACTGCATCAGTGTTTTTCAAGAAGCTCCACTCTTCCATTGCAGACTGGGTGATGGAAACGGTCCAGGTTGTCACTCCGACTTTAACAGTTCCAGCAGCGCCCCGACAGCCCCAAAGTAACCCTGTCGGAGAAACAAAGAAACGGTCAAGATTGCATGCTAAAGGTCCTAATTCCATTCGACTAAACCGCGTGACCTAACGCTGCAGAGTAACTTAGCTGATAACGTATCACATGACGTGAATGAGCTTTGAAGCTATCGCTCCTGCTGTGATAAAAAATATATCATTTCAACCTCAGTTGCACGCTGCTTCTGCAGCTTTACAAAATATTGTTCTCCGGCCTGGCTTTACGGGACGGAGGAGCGGCTGATACCTCGTGCTCCAGGAAGAAGGCCTTGAGTTGCCCCCCCGACCAATACTCCATCGCGTGTGCGAGCAGCCGCCGAGACAGCTGGTTCACGCGCAGGAAGTTGCCCACAAACACGACGCGCTCCATTTTCTAGAGGACGGCAGGAGCAGCGGGACAGGGCAATAGATGCGTGGTCACAGAGGAGTCAATGGAGTTTCGATTTAAAGCTTTCGTGACTGCAATGATTCATCTTCTTTGGTTCTTTCGGTAAAGTCACGTAGAATGAGAATAAAATAATAAATTGATAAAATAAAATAACACAATAATATTCTCACGACGTTTCGGCCACAACACAAGCGGCCTTCATCAGGTGAAGGGAGCGAGACTGTCTGGTAGGACAGCGCTGGAGTGAGAGAGCCACGTTCAGATCACGGCTTTTAAGCTGTGTGAGAGGAACAAAGAGCCTTGACGAAGGAATTAGCATAAAATTTAGCATTGAAAAGGCTGAATGATTAGCTTGTGACTGGTCACAGAAATAGCTATGTTAAAAGTTAAAGCATACACATCCGCAGAGGCACCCATTGTTAAAAGGAATTAGCATAGAATTTAGCATTGAAATAGCTAAATTAAGGCATTCGCTTGTAACTGCTACAGAAATAGTTACGTTGAAGTCAGAGCATACACATTCACCGAGGCACTTAGTACAAATCAAAACAGGAGAATTTAGCATTGAAATAACTAGGCGAATTTAGCATTGAAATAACTGGTTGATTTGCTGGTGACTGGTCACAGAAATGACTACACATCTGAGCTATTCACAGTACTATATAGTGAAACAATAAAAACTAAAATATAAATTACCTTCATGTTATCAATAAACTCTATATTCTCCAATCAGCTAAGCTAGCAACCATAAGTCGTTATATATCACAATGCTATATGGCGAAAAAATGGGTGGATTCTTACCCTCAAATTTTCGTACCACGGATAGCTACGGGCCCCGTTCAGACGGACGAGTTCGTCCATGGTCGGAACAGAGGAGGGGGAGAGAGACAGCTGCGAAGCCCTAGTATACTCCATGTTGTAAACCATACCATTAACCGTGGTGTGAGAGGTATTAAGAGGCAATGCTGGCGAAAGAGCTGCGGTCTGAAGGTCATCGTAAAATTACAATTAATTAAGAACAGAAATGATTTAACACATCTTTCCAGTGGTTACTAAGCCTGAATCCATCTTCTCGGTTGAAATTGTCTCTGTGCTTGTATATGTGAATGGCCTCATGAACGAATCTCTCATGGTAGCCAGTTGGTTTGCAAAGAACCTCCGTCTTGGAGAAGTCAATGTCATGTGAGCCCACTGAATTGTAACAGTGATCTGCCACGGCAGAGGAGTTCGTCTTACCGTGTTTCAAGTCTGCTTTATGTTCGCGGATGCGGTCCGAGATATGTCTTTTGGTTTCTCCAATGTAGCTACTACCACAGAGGCACTTTAGTTTGTAAACGCCCGGGTACTGTATGTCCGATTCAACACAGTACACAAAATCCGTGATTTAGTTCCATCTGTAAAAGATGCTCTTCCAGACATACAGTACCCGGGCGTTTACAAACTAAAGTGCCTCTGTGGTAGTAGCTACATTGGAGAAACCAAAAGACATATCTCGGACCGCATCCGCGAACATAAAGCAGACTTGAAACACGGTAAGACGAACTCCTCTGCCGTGGCAGATCACTGTTACAATTCAGTGGGCTCACATGACATTGACTTCTCCAAGACGGAGGTTCTTTGCAAACCAACTGGCTACCATGAGAGATTCGTTCATGAGGCCATTCACATATACAAGCACAGAGACAATTTCAACCGAGAAGATGGATTCAGGCTTAGTAACCACTGGAAAGATGTGTTAAATCATTTCTGTTCTTAATTAATTGTAATTTTACGATGACCTTCAGACCGCAGCTCTTTCGCCAGCATTGCCTCTTAATACCTCTCACACCACGGTTAATGGTATGGTTTACAACATGGAGTATACTAGGGCTTCGCAGCTGTCTCTCTCCCCCTCCTCTGTTCCGACCATGGACGAACTCGTCCGTCTGAACGGGGCCCGTAGCTATCCGTGGTACGAAAATTTGAGGGTAAGAATCCACCCATTTTTTCGCCATATAGCATTGTGATATATAACGACTTATGGTTGCTAGCTTAGCTGATTGGAGAATATAGAGTTTATTGATAACATGAAGGTAATTTATATTTTAGTTTTTATTGTTTCACTATATAGTACTGTGAATAGCTCAGATGTGTAGTCATTTCTGTGACCAGTCACCAGCAAATCACCCAGTTATTTCAATGCTAAATTCGCCTAGTTATTTCAATGCTAAATTCTCCTGTTTTGATTTGTACTAAGTGCCTCGGTGAATGTGTATGCTCTGACTTCAACGTAACTATTTCTGTAGCAGTTACAAGCGAATGCCTTAATTTAGCTATTTCAATGCTAAATTCTATGCTAATTCCTTTTAACAATGGGTGCCTCTGCGGATGTGTATGCTTTAACTTTTAACATAGCTATTTCTGTGACCAGTCACAAGCTAATCATTCAGCCTTTTCAATGCTAAATTTTATGCTAATTCCTTCGTCAAGGCTCTTTGTTCCTCTCACACAGCTTAAAAGCCGTGATCTGAACGTGGCTCTCTCACTCCAGCGCTGTCCTACCAGACAGTCTCGCTCCCTTCACCTGATGAAGGCCGCTTGTGTTGTGGCCGAAACGTCATGAGAATATTATTGTGTTATTTTATTTTATCAATTTATTATTTTATTCTCATTCTACGTGACTTTACCGAAAGAACCAAAGAAGAGTCAATGGAGTATTCGGTACGGGTGATGGAGAGCCGTGCCGGTAATAAATCATGAGAAAAAAGCTCGGGGCAAGTTTCGTTTCAGTCGACGCAACCAAGATTAGATGCAGGAGAACAACACCAAAAGAAAACCGGCACATTCCCCGAGCCCGTGCTGTCTGCACTGCCCAAGCTGCAGGCCCCCGACACTTTCCAAGCCCTGTACGATGCTGCTTGACACGCAGGTTTGACACAAGGCAGCACCATAGAGAGGCTGAAAGGAGCGGGGAAGGAAGCAAGTAGCACGGAAGGGGTGACCTGGAAAGAAGCCAGTGGGATTTTTAGAGCGACCCTCACCCCAACCCCAAACAAACTTCCCCCCCCCTTCCCACAGAAGCAGCATTTGTGGGAGATTGAGGGCTGTGAGACGGGCGCACGGGCAGAACCGAGCGGACGATGCCCACCTCATTGAGGGCGCACATGCGTGCGATGGAGCCGATGTTGTTGGTGATGGTGACAAGTGTGGCCATGGCGAGGTCCTCCTTGCTCACGGCCTCGCGCCTGTCCAAGCTGATCATCTGCCCGAAGCTGCATGCGTCACACACACAGCCAGGTTTAAGCTTGGGAAGAATTCACAACAATAATAATTATAACGTCCTTTTATTTACCGACGAGTCCCAAGACTCTCTTTCTTGAGTAGCGTACTGCTAAGTTGGGATATGAGGCCACTGCCATTAACGAGTGTTTAGAATCATGCGGGAGGAAACCGGAATACCCAGAGACAACCCACCACGCATTCAAGGGGCTAACGCTCAACATTCTGCACCGCACCTGGACGCGACAGCTGAGCCGCGGAGGCCAAAGCGCTCGTAATCGCCGCCGTAGATGTCCCGCACCAGCTTATCCACGTTGGTGCTGTCTCCCCGCTCGGCGAGTGAAAGCGCCTCGTCAAAGCTATCGCAGCCAGTCAGAAGGCAGCACAGGCCCAGGAATGTACCACCGCCGAGGCTTGAAGGGGGTGGGTGGGGAAAGCGAGCAAGTGGAGAGGAAACGGACCTTTAGACAATGCAGACAGTCAACTCTCAGTTATCCAGGGTAATTGGATGGGAAGGGTAGCCTGAATAAAACAAATACTGATTAAACGAGCAAATTAGCCTATTAAAAACGGTATTTACTCATTACTTATGTGGAATGTGTCATCTGTTTTTATTTATTCTTAATCATCTCGGGAGTCACGTGCTAGGAGCAGGTAATAATTGAAGTGACACATTCGTAAAAGCCAGACACTGATTGGCGTGGAACACCCAGCTCGCTATTAAAAATGTTTTGGGTTTACAAGGAAATTATTTTTTTCTTGCACGTGCATAACTATCTTGTTATGTGTGTGCCATGAGCACAGTTGGAATGAAAAGGGAAAAATAAACAAAAACTATCATTTCATTATATATGGGACATAACTTCACAAGGGTTACAAAATGCTTTGCTTGACTAATTTGAAAGTCTACTCATTAACAAGCTTAAAACCTGATGAACAACTGGACGTAAACAGTTATTTGTAACAGTTGTGTTTTTTGGATTGCCTTTTTCTTTTAACATTGCATATGTATTTACTAATTTACAGCCCTTTGTTGATCCGCTGCTACATGAATTCCTCCCCATGCCAGTAAGAAGTAGGTTCGTGAATATTGTACAGGACTGGTTCTGAAATGATTTGCCACTCAAGTTACTGGGACCCGAACAAAAATCCAGCTAACTTTTCTGCTGGATATGAAACACTTTTCTGCATGGTACCTTTTGTGGCTAAGTCTGAAAGCAATATGGCCCAATACCTCTTCTTTTAAATAAATTCCTTTCAAAGGAATCATAAAATTAAATACCACACCACGTTACTAAATCCCCTTTGGGTGAATTTATTGTTAGCTTCACTAGCATGTTGATTAGTCTCCTGCATTAATCTCCGAGATGGAGCCAGTCTTGCTAGAGTCTTAACTTAAAGCACTCCCACCTCATATCAGATATCCACATCTCTGTTTGACGACCCAGCTTGCCTTGAACTATGACTCAATTCCGTCTACCACTTGCGGTATCTGATGCAGGGGGCGAGATAAGCTAATCACAACATTTCTGCTGCGTCAAACTAAACACAGCCTATGTGGGGCAAAGGGCGAGGCACGGCAGCTTGATTGTGCACAAGCTGCGGAACACAATTCACGACACTCAAGTCAACCAACTCCAGACATCGAGCGCAAGCAAGCACACACAAGCCAATGCACACGATCCGGCGCTCTCGAAAAATGAGACCTATCGATTTCTGCAAGCGTGCTTTGCGCGTCGGCACGGTCTGCCGCGCACACCTGGTGCCCGTGACGCGGCGGTAGTCGTGCGGCGAGTAGACGGCCAGCATGCTGACGCCCGAGCCGATGTTGACGAGCAGCAGCGGGTATCGGCTGCCCAGCGTGCATGGCCTCTTGCTGCAGTGCTCCGCCTCCATGGGCTGCTCGTAGTAATAGCACTCGGGCCGCTCCAGGCCCAGCGACTCGACGTACATGAGGCCCTGGATCAAGCACTCCAGCTCGTCCAGCTTGTGCAGTTGCAGGTGGACCATCTGCGGGGAACATGAGGGTGGAGCAGCGAGAGCATTGGCGGCGGTGGGAATTTACCGGCGTGTCGATTGAAAACGGTTTTCTAAAGCTCACGACACATCAATCAACTTGCACGTTTGAGAGCTGATTATTTACACTGCATGGCAATTCCATATAAATTATATGTTTACAGTAATACTTAAGAAAACAGAGTTAGCACAACTGTAAAAACGAGACAGGTTAACGTAAATACAGAAACAAGATGGTACAAAATGAGAGAAAGGACAACATTCTTGAAGCAAACCATAACAATGAATCCTGACAATGTATTCATGCCCCTGGGGAAGGAGAAACGTTACATTCCTAGTCAGTGGCAGCACTGCGAGTGCACAGGGGACACATATGACCATAGGGGATTTGTGCGGAACGAGGTATGTACACTTGCGTTGCTAAAGTTAGTGTTGCATTTTCACAAACATCGCATCTACTGGTGTTATCATTGAAGGCACACCCTGGTAGTTCTTGCTTCCATTTAAGCAAGACAAAAAAATTCCGGAAACGTGTTTTACATTAATTACACTTAATATATCGGAAGCCCACTTCAATTCATATTATTATTACTAGCAATATAGACTGGTTACAAAGAGGACCGCAAACTTTATCATTTCCACGACCAAAAATAATTCAGTTACTGAAGAAGCCACCAGCACGCAGTACAACCAGAAAACAAATCAGAGCCAAACAAATGACAAGTACAAGGATGAACGTATGATCAGATCGGTGCACCCGTACGCAGAGGTCCTGGTGGCCGTACCTTGAGGAAGTCCTCCTCAAACTTGTGCGCGCCTCCACCGGTGGCGCACAGGGTGGTCTGCAGGCCGGAGAAGCCCTTCTCGCGGCCCATGGACAGGAAGGCGGGCACGTCGGCCGTGGGGAAGCGGATGAAGTGCATGGTGCCCGTGCGGCCGCAGAGCGAGAGGCCACGCAGTTCCAAGTGCGCATCGCGCACCCCGGCCGTGCCGTAGGCGACGCGCGACGTCAGGTATCGCCGGATGCTCTTTAGGCTCTCAACCTCCGCCTCCTCCTCCTCGGCGCTCACGTCTGTCGGCTCGAAGTACACCAGCTTCACCAGCGTGCCACCGATGTCCAGCCCGAACCAGGGAAACGCTGTGGGCGACGCGGAGATCAGGACCCGACGCAACGTGCATTTATATTTCGCGTCCGAGTGAAGACCCCATCTCAAGATGCTGCACAGAAAAAAGGTGGTATGTTTTGTGGATAGAGGCAGTCGGTCATAGGCAGAGGGTACAAGGAAGGGGTTGGGCCTGGGCTTTAACGGCCGCTGGCCATGAGATTATCATGGCCAGCGCTGGTGGTGCCACGACACCTCCACATCACTCACTCCCTTATGTCAGATTCTGCAGCTGTAGCACAAGACGACTGATCTCCACGGTCTATTATTAATCATGTGGCTTCAGGTGTTTTGATACCTAGATAGCCACCCTGGACACCGCTGACATTCAAAACACCTGACAAAAGCTTCCTTACGTGCGAGGCTTTATGTGCGTTTCTTTTGAGTTTGGGAACACCCCCACACTTTTCAAACGCTGCTAAGTTTGGTTTCTTCATCACTGACTGCGGGGATTCTAAAGAACAGAGCCCTTTTTGTTTGCGCCAATAAGAGGTATCCATGGTTTCTGAATAACAAGTCTCTCGCTTTGCTCGTCACTCAGTGTTGATAAATTCATACACTCATGAGGTATAAATTACATTATTTCGTCAGCTACAAAGTATCGGGTAATGGTGACAAAGCAATGTGCAAACTTAGTTTTTTTGTCGATTTGTTTAACTTGGTTCTAACCCTAAAACACACACACACAAGCACTAAATAAGTTTGCCGTACTTTGGACTGTTATTACTTGCCGTTAAAACACCCAAGAGGCAAAATAACACACTGTTTTGGACCCCAGTGCTTCACGACATGAACTATCTGAACTTTGGTCCAAAAATCTGATCAAAGAACAGCACCTGGGAACTTTGGCACGCCCGTTGTGCCAAGAGCCGTGCTGCTGCGTTGGCTTTCAGAACCGCATATTGCTGCTCCTCCTGATGACCTGGTACTGCAGGAGGGATGTCCCAACTGTCCTAACTCCACAGCCTTCACCAGCTGGAGGCAGCGATGGCACCCGTTTCAAATCGTGGTCATTATTGTCGGAGAGTTATCCATCCTGCGTTAGAGCCATGTGTTTTAAATTGATGGGCCTGTCACAACCTTCCAGAGAGAAGATCTGCGGCACTGTCCCTATCTTTCCTTCCAACCCTCACAATGCCACAAGGCTGTGGCAGCGTCAAAGTTTAAAAGGCTCGCCGTGACCGATGATGTTGGTCAGATCGGTCGTGTGTCCATGTGGACTATTTGCATCCAACTGGCCAGTGCAGTGGGAATCACCATCATTATCATCATCATCGTCTGTTATGCTCATTTGACGGCAGGATGAAGGCTTCCCCCCCCGCCAAGACGTCATATCTCTCACAGTCCTGCGATGTAACAATCCTACCTAGCAACTGCACCACATACAAGCGAGTTTTACATCATTCCATCTCTGCTGGTTGATCGACCTCACGGGTGCATGCATTCCTTACTCTGCGGCCGCTACCCTGCCAATCGTTGGTCTCGTCCACCCGGACGTTGGTCAACCCATGCTTACAAATGTCCCAATTGAATGCAAGTTTCCCCGTACTCGCTGTGGTGTGTGTTACGCGGTGTGTTAACATTGGCTTTATAGTGCAAACGCTTCTGCCTTGCCCAATACAAGTCAACATTGGCGCACGGGTTATCTTCTCAGCTATTTAAAATCACCAGTCATACCAGAAAAACCTGATATCTCGCTCTTTTTCATCTCTATCGCTCCAATTTTTTGCATCACCACAGATGCCGACAAGAAGGCAGCAAATGATTAACGCAAGGCAACAACCTTCCGAACGGGAAAAACAAACAAACTCTCCACTCTCTCGTTTTATCACACCACGAACCGAACCTTCTGCGTGGCATCTGAACTCAGGAAGTTGTACTTGTGTGTGTGTGTATCGCGAAGTGCCAACTCAACTCATGAGTTCTACAGAGTTACATTGTACTGAAGTGCACGGGGGGTTATAAACAGGCGTCACATTCAAGACGAACGAACGCTTAAATTTTGATTTAAAGCTTTCGTGACTGCAGGGATTGATATTATTGGTTATTTCGGTAAAGTCATCACGTAGAAGGGAAACAATAAAATTAAAAAAACATACTTTATTGTTTTATATTTTAATTATTTTATTGTTTCCCTTCTACGTGGTGACTTTACCGAAAGAACCAAGAATATGAACGCTTAAATGTCAACCCCTCGAGGAGCATTTGTTGACGTTATTGTGTCCCCCTCCCCCCATGTTACCGCCTATACATCAAACACTACACACGGTGCACTTAATAAGTCGTGGTGTCACTTCAGCGAATGGCACCAAAGGCATTTCTTAAGAGTGGTTCCTGCCCCTTTGGTTTTATGCATCGCTTAAAGCGGTAACGTTTTAAACCTCCGTAGAACAGACAAACTATGCTGCCCTCTGTAGTATTTTAGGCATGTTATACCCTCCTCCCTGGAAATATGTAATCCCACACACGTATCGTGCAAGTAGCAGGCAAAGCTGGCCGGCCAAACATGTCTTTTCAAAGTCTTGTATAAAATAGCTGGATATTAAAACAAAACAAAAAAATCAACATTTTGATACTTTTCACCAAAATATCGAAAGGTTCCAGTCAATTGGTTCACATTTGTTTCATTATTTCCCACTCAGCAGATTTTGCCAAATGTAAAATCCTCTCTTCCAAGCTACCAAAACGTCAAAACCATCAAACAACCTTCAACCTTCACATTTCACCACATTTCTAATGAATTGCCTCTAAACCCCAGCCACCTCGACTCGGCAGCATTCAAACTCCTGGAGCTTATCACGGACCCTGGCGCGCAACTCACCTGGCTTCTTGGCATCCGCGTCGTTCGCTGTTGTAATCTTCATGGCCGTGAGGATCTTTACAGATTTCTTCTAAACGCATGCAAGGAAGGCGAACCGATTCCTTGTGCCGGGGCGGGTCTTTTTTTTCTTCCAATTAAGTTAAATAAATACCTACTCAATAATTGATAAATGCCACGCTACGGATTGATGGATGTGTCATTAGCAACGGCAGTAGCAGCAGCAGCACATGTCCTGTGTGGCCACCCAAGGTAACCCAGGGCAGTCTCGTCTCAACCTGCAGACAGCTCAGGGATTTCGAGATGGTGATGATTCACGCGCAACGTTGTATTTATATTACGAACGATTCGAATTAGTGTTATTGTTTAACGCAATCAATCTTCCGGCGTGTCTTCTTGTCGGCGTGCAATAATGGAACATGTAACGTCCGCTTCTGTTACCACATTCTTATTCTGCTGCAGCTGCTTGTGGCGGCCCTGGTCATATGGAAGGGGGGGCTGGCTGGATCGCTCAGCTGTTGTCCTCCACTGCTGCACACTGAATACTGTGCGTGGCAGTGTGGAGTTTGGTCGTGGTGGTGGTGAGACAATCAGCTGCAGCCCCGTTCATCCAGGAGGCGTCCCGGTGTGAATGACGCGGAGAGGCTCCGAGTGTCTGCTCCTACAGATGCGTGCGTGTGTGGGTAGGTAAATGCGTGTCTGTGTGTAAACAAAGATGTGTGCAGAGACGATTGTGTATCTGCGTAGATAATATATCTGTCTGACGGTGTGAATGTATGAACCTGTATATCAATATACAGTATATGCGTACTGTACTGTGCGTGTACGTACGAATGTGTGTCCCGAGTGTACGCTTGTCGTTACGGAGCTTATGTCAAATAACGTGTATCGTGTACGTATTCCGCGTTGAGTGATGCATGTACCCGTGTCTGTATGGGGTGGATGTGTGGATGTGTGCGTGCGTGTGAGTGCGAGGAGCCTCAGCCACTGCCTCCCGCGCTGCTGTCGCGCGGGTTCTGCCACCACTCGGAGGGTCCCACCCCCCCTAGCCCCCACCTCGTCTTCCCCCATAGCCACGCCCACGCCACCGTCCACCAACCAATCGTGAGACGCGAGCGGCGTCTCGCGCTCGGCAGCCGGCCAATAGCGCGCGGGCTCTTTGGTCAGGCGCTCCTGGGACGAGGGGGAAGTCTCTTTTCAATGGGCGTGGTCGCGCGGGAGTGGGTGTGGTCAGGACGGGGACGTAGCACGATGAGGGCGTGGTCTTACCCGAATATTTAAAGCTCTTACGCAATCTAACCCAACAAAAACCCTCTTACAGTATTATTTGTATTGCTCGCGAAATGCTTCGTGTTGAACGGAGTTGTAACGCTTTTGTTTTGTTTGTTTACACAGCTCCAGCAATTTCACAGATGCCCAGTCGAACGAGCGAAGAGGATGATGTGGCGGAGGGGGTGGGGGTAGCAGCTGTAAGCGTCGAGGTTATCGCTGCTGCGCTCCCACAACACTCGGCCAAGAGCAACACGAGAGCATCTTTGTCTGTGCGAAGGCGCGCGCATGCCTGTGGGGCCGCGTGGGCGTGGCATGGGCAGGTGTGGGCGGGGGAAAGGGGTCGCGTGACGTCACCGGCGTGTGATTTATTTTTCTCTCTCTCCACGTGAAAGCGGGCAGGCGTGCACCCGGCTCTGTGATTGACGTCGTCTTGGTGAGCAGGGCGAGACCAAACCATTGCATGTTGAGTCACCTTATTATTGAAAAAGGACACAGGCAAGCCTACGTCAACCGGACGACGACGATGACAAATCAGGATTTTAAAAAAAATATATATTAAACACGATTACACCATTTGTTGCTTTGGCCTACTATTGCCACGATATAACGCCACAATACTGTACTGATAAGAGCAGCACTGTACAACCACGTGGGAAGAGGCGGGTGAGGGGATGGTGCCATATAGACGGAGTCACGTGTTCCTTGGGGTGGTGAAGCGATGGCGAGGGGGGGAAAGTACGTCGCCACGTGACCCGCGAGCGAGGCGTTCCTATTGGTCAGAGCGCGGGGTGGAGCAGGAACTGCGCCACTCCGGCGTGACCACGTGCGCGGGGCGGTGTTGAGGGAGGCAGCCAGCTGATCGGGTGCCGTCGGGAGCGCTTTGGGGGGTTGTAGACTGAAGTCTGGGTTGGATTGTGATGTTGGCGATGATTGGGACATTCATGAGTTAGTACGGTGATGGTTGGGACATTATTGAGTTAGTACGGTGATGTTGGTGATGATTGGGACATTCATGAGTTAGTTACGGTGATGGTTGGGACATTCTTGCGTTAGTATGGTGATGTTGGTGATGTTTGGGACATTCATGAGTTATTACGGTGATGTTGGTGATCTTTGGGACACACTTGAGTTAGTGCGGTGATGTTGATGTTTGGGGCATTCATGAGTTAGTATGGTGATGTTGGTGATGATTGGGACACTCTTGAGTTAGTACGGTGATGTTGGTGATGTTTGGGACATTCCGGAGTTAGTACGGTGATGTTGGTGATGATTGGGACACTCTTGAGTTAGTGCGGTGATGTTGGTGATGATTGGGACATTCTTGAGTTAGTACGGTGATATTGGTGATTGGGAGATTCTTGAGTTAGTACGGCGATGGTTGGGACATTCTTGAGTTAGTACGGTGATGTTGGTGATGATGGGGACATTCATGAGTTAGTACGGTGATGGTTGGGACATTCTTGAGTTAGTGCGGTGGTGTTGGTGATGATTGGGACATTCATGAGTTAGTATGGTGATGTTGGTCATGATTGGGACACTCTTGAGTTAGTGCGGTGATGTTGGTAATGATTGGGACACTTGAGTTAGTAGAGTGATGTTGATGATGATTGGGACATTCTTGAGTTAGGACGGTGATGTTGGTGATGATTGGGCCATTCTTGAGTTAGTACGGTGATGTTGGTGATGATTGGGACATTCTTGAGTTAGTACGGCGATGTTGGTGACGATTGGGACACTTGAGTTAGTACAGACAGCGATGTTGGTGATTGGAACACTCTTGAGTTAGTACAGAGTGATGTTGGTGATGATTGGGACACTCTTAAGTTGGTGCTGATTGGAACACTTTTGAGTTAGTACAGACAAAGAAGTTGGTGACGATTGTGGTAATGGGAGAACATGGAGAATTGATTACGGATTAATGTTTGGGGTGGATAGTGACGGTGGTTATGTATGTTGAACTTCTTTTGCCCATCCCTTTCAACCCATACGGTTTTCGTGTATTCTTGTACAGGGAAATTAAGTTTTCAGGCCCATATGTCGTACAGCCGTTTCAATACGGGCAAAAAAATGGATTATTTGTGTTCTCCCTTGTGATGGAACTTTGTTGGATCAACGTTGAGATTTATCAGGGCACGGGGAGACCATTAAGGTCTGAATTGGTCTATAATAAGCTTGGCAGTGATAAGGGGGTTGACAGGTATGCTAGCCAATCATGCTAATCGGAGCACTTTGAGTTGATAGAAACTGATATCTGGGGTAGAATGTTCTGGTGGTGGTGGGGGCATATGGGGGATAGAGGGCGGTTTAAGGTTGTGATTTCTGGGTTGGATGGTGGTGATAGGTGGATGGTGAGGGTGGGTTTTAGTTTTTCTGTTACATTTTCTGAGCAAAGATCCAGAACCTAACAGCACTATTAAAACTTGTAATGGATAGGCGTTGACTCCTTTCTTGAATTGAGAAAGGTTTTAAGGGTTTTGAGAGAAAAAAAGGAGCAGCATGACGGAAGAAGCAGATCGAGAATGTTTTAAACTAGTTTGTGGGAGTTGAATGCAGTATGGCTGAGGCTAAATAGTCTGGTGATGGTGGTGATGATGATGATGCGAACACGTGGGGTACAAGGCAGTGTTGAGGTGGTTACCCCGGGCACGTTTGGCTCGCTCTCATTGGTATGGGTGGGTGGCGCATGCCGTTTTCGTTTGTTCCTGCAATCGTTGTAACTGTATCCACACCATGTCCTTTCGGCTTAGATGCAACACAGTCACGAATTAAAATTCCAGCTGGGGTCGACAAGAGTCAGAGCATCGTTGGCATCCGTCATGGCTATTACCCTAGATCCTATTTCCACCCAATCTCATAAGAATATTGTAAGCTAAGCAGTGTTGAGCCTGGTTAGTACTCGGATGGGTGACCACCAGGGCTGCCAGGTGTAATTGGTGTGGAGCTGCGAGGTATGTGGTCGGTGGCGGTGGTAGTGCTGAGCCATTACCCCCTCGTATAACACGTGGTGGATGTTCTCATGGGTTATCCGTTTTCCTCCCACATGAAGCCAAACGCTCAGTCACCAAGCTGACCGAGCATCCCAATGCAGCAGCAGCACCCTCCTGGCAAAAAAAAAGTCTTAGAAAGCTGGATGAGGCTTTCCTGTAATTGGTAATGTAATAAATAATTTGCATTACGCTTATCACAATTATTACCTTCAGGGTCAGGGAAATTGAACACCTAATTCACTACGTTGATGATACTGGCGGTAAGCATGGTCCCCACAGTTGCTGATATATGATAGGACAGATTTTGGTGGCGGATTGGGGAGGCCTTCATCCAGCAGTGGATTGATCATGGTCGACGATGATGGATTCCGCCAGGTAATGCGGATTTTGTACCGCTGGCATATGGTCACACTTTACCAGTGGATAGAGAATGGCCGGTGGCTATTCGTAGTCGTGGCAGGACACGGTTTTGCTTTGTGTCGTAGCTAGGTGGGTGAGGGAGGCTCGGTTATTGGATTGGGAGGGAACTCTAGGTCAATGGATAATAATTATCCAGACACATTTGCATCACAACATTGCACCACAGTGGCTTGCACGTGGGCTTTAAATTCAAAACACACTCATCCCTTAATTGTGCCGACTGTGAGGCACCCGCCTGGCTGCTGTATGGCAAAACCTTGAAACTTTATATGACGATAATAATGTACAGCCCTATTGTCAATGTACTGCTGGGTGATGGCCTTCCTACGCCCTTTTGTCATGGGAATTAAGCATATTTCACCACGCTTGTCAGGGCGGGCAGGTGAAGTGGTGGGTGCTCAGAACCAGTTCGGTTATCATCGCTGACCTTGGATGTGGCTGGGAAGCCCGGGTCGCCAGGTTTGTCACGCAGTGTGCTGACCATTGAACCACCACTTCACCATGAAACTTTAACGGGGCGGGGGAGGGCAATAACTGGTTTTGGTATCCGACAGTAGCTAGTCCCTGCAGCCACGAGCCCCTTGTGCACAGAGCAGGGTTTGTCACGAGAGGTACATATTGTACCGTGTGAGACTAAAAAGGAAATTCGCAGCTCGAGTTGTACCTGGTTGACTTTTAAGTGGGCTAAATTTTTGTTCAGGACAGGTTTCATGTGGCTTATGCCTAGGACATTCAGTGTCTTCTCTGTCATTGCTACAGAGTTTCTTTGAAACTGCCTCCTGTTGACTATTTTAGGCCAATGACTTATCATATTGTGAATATGGGGTGGGTTACTGATCTTCATTACTGTGCTTTATTTGTCATTTTGATTACCCCAGGTCACTTGCAAATTAGTCTATTCTAGTTTCTGAAGTTGTCACCTGGTTAAATAAAATAGGCTTGATACGTTTTCACCAAATTACTACAACCTGGCTCAATAAACTTTCGAAATGGTTACGACTAGAAGTGGCCAAATAACTAAATGTAGCGGGATCATAATTAAACAAGTATTTACGTTTCAGATAAGCTTTCCAGGTAAACAAAAGGGTGATGAAAACAAGAAGAATTGAAGCATTAGATATGTTGTTTTGAATGTGGTTGTTATTCGTGCATTGTTGTAAATAGGGATGGAGCTTAATTAAGTTGTAAGGTTTTACAGGTTCAATGGCAATCGTGAGCTTGAGCCTCTCTGAGTATTTAGACTGCGTATTCTTACGTCGCAGATCTACTTAGCTCTGGCTCAATTGAGCCGGTGCTGAGCACGACCCCAGCCGTGCTCAGGATTCCCGTGAGCCGAGCCACGGCTGAACCACTAGCTCCTGCGT